CCGGTATCTTAAACTAATGGGCGATTCGTCAAAACTCATTTTTACAATGCCTGATCTTTCAGGTTAATTAATGAACAAGCAAGCATGTACCGTCGTCGCTACTCTAGTGGCTGGGCTGCGCCCACCGTTGCTCAACTGTAAGGTGAACGCTTTTGACGAAATACAGCAATTAACGTCCGGTTCGCGCCCAAAGAACATTTGTCCTTATTGAAGTAGGTTAATATAAAAATGAAGTAACGACTCAGATTTAGTTGGGACATTTACAATTTAGTGGGCCATTCAGCCCAACTTGGCATGTATGCAAAATAAAGTGTGTCTAATAGAATCCCATAATAATTCGTTTTGCTCTAAAAGGCGGATGGACTGAGTTCTCAAATTGATTCCACCGGATACCTGTTCAGTTGAGCTTTTGGAGTTGTGCGAAGCAGTCCTCGGCGCGCAGTACTTCTAAGCTTAGCTTACGTCAGACCTGCCGTAGTAGACATCATCAGATCCACAAGCGATCACTTTGTGAAAATCGTCAAAAAAGAGTATCTTGCAGCATTCCTACTTACTTTTAATACAATATTTTGCGATTTTACCGAATTGGGCCATCCTACTGCCTCTATTTGTTATGGACTCGGCGATCCCCTATCAACGTCCATAATGAAGACGACCCAATCGCAGAAAATAGGATGAACCCTGTAGTAGAATCAGCCTATGAAAGGACACTTACACAAAGAGATAGGTGCTGTTGCGTTGAGTTACCGAGTCCCGTTCAAAGAAGTCTCTTCAGGACAAAGCATGCCTCTCTTTACATCAATGTTGGACTTAAACCAGACCAACTCGAAGTTATATGGTATTTAACGCTATCTCTACGATAAAAGCAACGGAATAAAATTTTTTATTGCTTCAGTCTTAGTCACAGTTTTGGTAAGACAACAGGAGGTGAGTTGAAGACAGGTGTCGATCAATAAATGCGTGTGAGAGACTTACTACGAGGCTAAGAGAGAGCATCCCAAGCAACGTTCTATAAAATTTTAATAATTTGTTAAAAGTGAAGGGCCCAAAAGACCTGTACTTATTTCATATCTTGTCACCATCGCGGCAGTCGCTCACGGCTGTCTTGGCCAGACCGAAATATAACAACTAAAGTTGAAAGGAAACGGTATCATGATAAATTGTTTTTTGTTTTTAGAAATTAATGGATATAATCAATTGTTGTTTAAGAACCAAAACAAAACAATAAGTAATTGTTTAAAAATAATTGATTAGTTAATAAACTTTACTCAAATAAGAGCAGTTTGCGTCGATTGTGAAGCAAGGAGAAACAGTGTGCCCTCTGAATGCAGGGAAATTAGATTAATTATTGCCACTTTTAATCCATGAAGAAATTGTACAAAACACGGTCACATGTGCAATGGTGTACCGGCAACCATACGGAAGATAGGGCCATTGTGTGGGGGGACAACTTAGGAGAGTGCTCTTGCCGACGTGTCGATAAATCGTGATCTGTATGAGTAGCATGATTGGAGCTACTGCTACGAGTGAATGCAGAGACCAGGCTTGGTGTGATGAGAGGAAACATCGTGATTTGTCGTTCGAGAGGTCACTTTTCAAGATCACTCGGCGAACCTTTTATCGGTCTTCAAGAATAGTCGCGATATGGTCAGCTCGCAGGTGGTGAAGGACATAATTCCTTAACAAGAGGCTCGAAAGTATTCCGTGCTTTATGTTCAAGTGTTGGCTCTAGTTACTCTCGTTGTTGTAGCCAGTCGAATGGGCGAGATCTTCACAAGCATTTTGGCTCCCTCTATCCACTATTTGTGGCAGATGATCTCGTGTCTGCTTGCTTGACTTCATGCCAAAAGGCCTGGGCAGCAAATAGCACTAAAGTGTATTTGGGTTTTACTTTTTAAAACCGGTCGCAATCACAATTCACTTCCCTGCCGGCGATGGACCGGACTTCCGAGAACCGGGAAACTATCTCGGTAGGCTAACTTTCTTTCAGTTTGGCCGCTGGAAAGCTGGCAGCAAGTCGCGTCTTCAGTGTGGTTTCGCATCGGAGCTATTAGCTTCAACCTTTCAAACGATTTGGCAGAAAATGCACAATAAATGATACCAAACAGACAACACCCCACCACCTGCAAAAGGTGAACATACTGCACAGGTAGACTTGCCCACTGGTGCTGTGCTTGCTTAGGATATTCTGGAGTATTTTGCATAAGTTTATTATGCGACTGGTTTTATGGTTAACCACGCAAATCTGTCTGCCAAACGTGGACTAAGTGTGGTCTTTGTTTCACTCCCAAGGGACCCATTTAAACACACCTTCTTGAAACGATCAGAAATAAGGCATAATTGCCAAAATATTGAGAATAAGATTTACAGTTACGTGGGCAGTGGGCAACTGATTTCGGCTCTTATGCGACCAAGGCAACCCGGAGTCCGTTCAGCTTAAATAGCAATGGCTCACGGATTCCTTGAGACACTCAGCACCGTCTTGGATAAGTAAAAGTACAGGACTCTTTGTCGTTTATAAGTAGGCCTTCCAGACTACCACAAGATCATACAAGGAAGGTGTATTCATCTTAATTCGTCAAGGTGATGACGGGCTAGTAGTTGAATTTTCACACCGTCATATGAGTGGTATTTGCATTCCCAATCATTTTCACACAGCCTCGCTTCCCGAAGCAGGGGTGGATTGCAATTTCGACCTCGTCTGAGCTGGTCATATCAGCGTTGTTGCGGGACTCGAACTGCAATAGTACAATCTCGATAAACTAATCTCTATGCCACACTGTCATGAGTATCCTTGGGTGACAGGGCAGACACAAATTTCAACGAAAGCCATATAACGTTGTAAACGAAAAATAAGTAGTGTACTCGATTGCTACGGTTTCGTTGCTTTTGCATCATGATCAATCGAAATGTTTACAATGTTTTTGTTTTTCGAAATTAATTAATCTAATCAATTGTTGTTTTAGAACCAAAATAACAATAAATAATTGTTTAAAAATAATTGATTAGTTAATAAACTTTACTCAATATTAATTATAACCTATTATGATGTTATATTTTGATTAGGATACTCTTCGATTGCCACATACACATAATATATTTTGTTGGTGATGCGACCAGTTCAGGCGAGGTCAAAATTACAGTCAACTCTTGCTTGGATGAGAATAGCTTTTGGGAAGGAAGGCTATGTAAGTCATGAAAAAAAATCTGAGTCGCACCAGCTCTACATCACTCCGTCGGGAAGGAGATTGCATACAGAATGGAACTTAAACTTAGCTTATGTAAGAAAATATACTTTTATTTATAAAGAGAATCCGGGTTGCTAAGATTTCCTTACTTGAGTGATGCTGGCATACTTTTTATTTCGTTTGAAAAGACGGGTGACAAGGATTCATAAATAAGCCTCACCTAATACCAAAAAGGGTTGCTTTAGACTTATGACTCACCGTCCTGCCACCCCAATGAACCCGGACTGAACTTTCAACCACCAAAAGCACAGAACCCAAACTTGCATTATTTTATCAGAATAGTTTTTGATGAGTCTTAACAAAAAAATTTTTCGAGTCACACTAATTCACCTACAATTAATTAAAAACCCAGTTTTTAATTAAATGTACTAAAATCGGTGTATTCATAAGTACTGTTTGGGACTTTTGGTAGGTCTTGGATAAGATTTTTATTCAGCTTAAGTCGTATAACATATTGAAGGAATG